GCTGTAGGTAGATAACCAGCCACCTTCGCTGTAGGTAGATAATCAGTCACCTTCGCTGTAGGTAGATAATCAGCCACCTTCGCTGTAGGTAGATAATCAGTCACCTTCGCTGTAGGTATATAATCAGTCACCTTCGCTGTAGGTAGATAATCAGTCACCTTCGCTGTAGGTAGATAATCAGTAACCTTCGCTCTATGTAGATAATTAGTCACCATTGCTGTAGGTAGACAAGTGGGCCAATGTTTGCTTCTTGATGAATAACAGTTGTATTTCTTCCAGTGGGGTTGAAACGGGTATTTTTCACGAGAAGGTAGAACATGTGAATAAACACCAGAATTTCTATTTCCCATGAAGCCTTATAATCCGACCACCTTCATTAAAGATTAATAGAATCATTCACATACTTAGAGTTCAGATAAAATGATTTCAGCACAAGAGGATTATAATTCTAAGATGGGAAACTCGAGGCTTGCAGTGATCACGAGCTTGAAAGTTTTCCCCATCTGATTGCCGTCCATCGAGAGGTAATTGCTTGCTTTGCCGATGTCTGTTGGAGATAACCACTAAACAATTGTCTGTCGGAGGTAACCACTTGGCTCATTTCTGTCGGACGTAACCGCTTTTATAGTATCTTTCGGATGCTGGTATCTGCCGCAGGTGACTAGCTTGTCAAATGTCTGTAGTGTAGCTAACTCCGCGGCTTATGTCTGTCGGAGGAAACCCCTGAGCTTATGTCTGTCGGAGGTAATCGTTTGGTAATGACTGTCGGAGGTAACCCCTGAGCTTATGTCTGTCGGAGGTAATCGCTTGGTAATATCTGTCGGAGTTAACCCATGAGCATATGTCTGTTGGAGGTAATCGCTTGGTAATGTCTGTCGGAGGTAATCGCTTGGATATATCTGTCAGAGGTAACCCCTGAGCTTATGTCTGTCGGAGGTAATCGATTGGAAATGTCTGTCGGAGGTAACCCTTCAGCTAGTATCTGTCGGAGGTAATCGCTTGGTAATGTCTGTCGGATGTAATCCATGAGCTTGTGTCTGTCGGAGGTAATCGCTTGGTTACGTCTGTCGGAGGTAACCCCTGAGCTAGTGTCTGTCTGAGGTAATCGCTTAGTTACGTCTGTCGGAGGTAATCGCTTGGTTACGTCTGTCGGAGCTTGGTTACGTCTGTCGGAGGTAACCCCTGAGCTTATGTCTGTTGGAGGTAATCGCTTGGTAATGTCTATCGGAGGTAATCGCTTGGTAATATCTGTCGGAGGTAATCGCTTGGTAATATCTGTCGGAGGTAATCGCTTGGTTACGTCTGTCGGAGGTAACCCCTGAGCTTATGTCTGTTGGAGGTAATCGCTTGGTAATGTCTATCGGAGGTAATCGCTTGGTTACGTCTGTCGGAGGTAACCCTTCAGCTAGTATCTGTCGGAGGTAATCGCTTGGTTACGTCTGTCGGAGGTAACCACTGAGCTTACGTCTGTCGGAGGTAATCGCTTGGATATATCTGTCGGAGGTAACCCCTGAGCTTGTGTTTGTCGGAGGTAATCGCTTGGTTACGTCTGTCGGAGGTAACCCTTCAGCTAGTATCAGTCGGAGGTAATCGCTTGGTAATGTCTATCGGAGGTAATCGCTTGGTAATATCTGTCGGAGGTAATCCCTTAGCTAGTGTCTGTTGGAGGTAATCGCTTGGTAATATCTGTCGGAGGTTACCCCTGAGCTTGTGTTTGTCGGAGGTAATCGCTTGGTTACGTCTGTCGGAGGTAACCTCTGAGCTTGTGTCTGTCGGGGGTAATCGCTTGGTTACGTCTGTCGGAGGTAACCCCTGAGCTTGTGTTTGTCGGAGATAATCGCTTTGTATTGTCTGTCGGAGGTAACCCCTGAGCTTATGTCTGTCGGGGGTAATCGTTTGGTAATGTCTGTCGGAGGTAACCCCTGAGCTTATGTCTGTCGGGGGTAATCGTTTGGTAATATCTGTCGGAGGTAATCGCTTGGTAATATCTGTCGGAGGTAATCCCTTAGCTTGTGTCTGTCGGAGGTAATCGCTTGGTTACGTCTGTCGGAGGTAACCACTTGGCTGATTCTGTCGAAGTAACCGTTTGGTTTTGGAACGCTACTGTTTAGTTAATATATGATGTCATTTATCCAACCATATCTAGAGAAACATTGAGTCAATCTTTAAACCAAAGAGGACTAGCTAGTTATGTATGTTATCAACTTCTGTTTGTCTGAAATGGTTATACAAACAGTAACAATACAACGACATCAATCAGTTTTCTTGTTACATTGACCAGGATCCATGAATAATCAGATCAGATCTTAAATGTATTTCTTCTCCGAACACCCAAATGTGTTATGTAGAGTTTTGAGCGGTCAGTCCTAAAATCGCTTAAAAATGTTATTTTTGCGTGTAGACTTGGATTCCGTTTTGAAGGATTGAGTAAAAACGATATTGACATTTAAATCCCGAAATGAATAGTTTCCTAGCCTTTGTGTCGCTAATGTTTATTTGGGAGAAGAAATTCCAGGCTGACATGCACGAGAAAAGATTAAAGTTGTTGCAGTGAATTATATAGGATTCAAAGTCACCTTGACTGAATTCAAACTGGGTTTAAGGCAAGGAGGTGGCTGAATATTTCTTAACATATGTCATTTTGTTTAAACTTTAGCATGTTCGTGGATAGTGAAGAAAAAAGACGAAACAACAAGTATAATCCACATTAGTCTGGCATTGTATTCAGTAACAAACTACTGTCCAGAACGCAACATGTCTACAGCTGGTAATGGTTAATAATCAGTCAAGTGGTTTGTTTCACGATCTTATTACTAAATTAGTTTGTTTCAAATCCGACGCGATCTCAATCGCCACTACAGGAAACGAAATATCAATGTAACACTACACTGAGACCGGACATTGATAGAATGCTTCGACCCTCTTCAAACTTCACGGAACATGATTTGCTGCCGATAGTGATCACGCGCAGACCAATCTTATGTGGCGATTTCTTTCCATGTCACATTCCTAACTTCAAAATGATTAAAGAGAAATGTTTAAAAGGGAATACTTCATTGTTTATTGAATTAATACCTAACATTTGATAGGTTGATGTCTGTTTGACACTGTTGACTTGTCTCGTATTGTGTCAGTTTGATCGATGTACAAATATATGGATGCTGTTTTATCCCATACGACATTTCGATCTATTAAATTCACATAGAGAGATGCAAACACATGCGCTGTCAAATATTAAAAAAATTGGCTGATTAATATTGAACGTGTAAGATACCACATATTTTTAGAAATTGTCGATCATATTCAGATACGGAAAACTGATTTCTTAAATGTTTTACATCTAGTTTATTATAGTGCCAAATAAGGAATGCGAGTTATGAGAAAATATCTCCCAGAAAGCATTGCGGATTCCTACATGACATTCTTGTAAACAAAGTCACCGCAATGCACTCTTGGGGAGATTGTTCCATGAAAGGTTTCTCTTAATTCAAGTTGATAAAATCAGGCGTATTTTCAGCAAATGACGGGAGTATTGTTTGATTTCACCTCTTTAGCATAAACATGGTTATTTCTAAGACACTTCACTTGCTACTTTGTACGCTGTGAGTTTATTGTATCGTGACTACAGTTTGAGTAGCCAGCGTACTCTCGCCATCACGAGAGCGGACGTATAATGACGCGTTTCAAATACATATACATAATTATATATATCATAAACCATCATATGTGGTACAGCTGACATGATGATGGCCAGGTTCATTTCCTCTGCACAGACTCGCTTATTTCTATTACATAATGGTCAATTATTCCAGCATATGCGTCAAAATAAAATGTGTATCTATTTCAAATATCGTCTTCTTAACACAATAAACATGAGAAGTATCACCTGTTATTTTCTGTTTTATCTAAGAAAATGCATAGGCATTAGCAAAGGATGTGCAGATACATTTCGTGCATTGCTCCAATTCCAAACCTTTGGACTGTCTGACCTGAATTTTTGGCTCTTCCCGTCACAAACTTTCTATCGACTTTGTGTCTTTAAACGTTTCACTAAATTCCTTGTAACAGTAAAAAACAACATTTTTCTGCCGTTGAGATTCATTGGCATGTTTTTGGCCGACGTTCCTAGTCATTCTCGCCAGTATAATTTTCTACTTTCTGATTGCGTGAGGTTTTGGTGACTATTTCTAATTTACCCTATTCCCAGGTTCTACTTTCTTACCTCGTGATTTTTTTCGTTACTGTTTATCGTCACAGGCTATTGTTTATTTTCTAACCGTATGACTTTTTTTTTTACTATTTATTGTCACACAATCTTCTCATTTCCTGTTAAGTGACTGTTCGACCTATACAGCTGTGACGTATTGAAGGACCGTAGAGACTTCATCAATCACTAGGTTGCTGTCCATGTTCTTTCGTTGTAAAATCTAAATGAAAATTAGTTGATGCGTTAACTATAATTATATCAGATACAATTTTAGTAACATTTTTAATGATTTAATGAATTTAATGCAGTCGGCTCGAAAGCCACTCCTAATCGTTGATGATGCCTTGATAAATTTCCTCCGCCTCGTCCCGGTACCAAAATAGGGAAAGTAACTAAACCTTTCGGGGAGAGATTGGACACATTACCACGGAAAATTGCTTTGCGGACGACCATATGTCTACTCAGAGATTGAAGTCTTGGACCAGGAAACTTTATATCGATCGGAAAGTCTTGATAACCCGGTTTGGGGAACATAGGAGGATTTTAGGTTTTGTAACGTGGTCGTCTGTTGGGAGGGAACAGCGGCTATCTGGCAAGGAACTAGTGATTTATTGATTTTCCAACATACTCACTATGTCAATAGTACACCAAACAGGTTCCACTTACTCCAGAAATCAGCTGCTATCTGAAAATAGTACCTTCTCTCTCCCCAAAGCCAAAAGGCTTTTTGATTTTACCGAGCGAAGAACTGCTTTACCATCGCAGCACGACCCCCGTTTACTCACACGAAAACATGCATCTATTTGGCAAGGCGGCTAAATGTTCCTCAAGGGAAGCATGCATACTTGAGACATTCTCAGTATCACACCTTTCTTTCTCGGAGGTGCCAAGTGATTATTGTGCTTTAAAAATTCTAAATTAATAAGATGTCCCACGACTGTTTTAAATTTTCTCTGTATTACAAAGTTATTTTTCATTATATAATACTTACCGAAGCGATGCTGTCCTTGTTGTCAGATAATTTAGTTGGATATATATAATGAAATCTTGAAACATATTTGGCATGGTAGGATTTTAAATTGTCTCTCAAGTACATGTTTGTGTCACATAAAAATAAAAAGAAAAAAAAAGAAGTTTCGACTGTAAGCCCAGGGCGACAAATCAACCTTCTCATTACAATAAAATATCCTTATTCTGTCAATCATTTGTCGAGTTGAAGATTCGTTATCTCAAAATTAACACCTGATCTTATTCTCTTGGTAAATTTTTCAAGAATTTCATTGTAAATCTTGACTCACATTTTGCAACCGTTTCATTGATTTTAAGTGTGTATTTCGGCTCTGTCTTTTTCATTTCCATGTAGACAAGCAGATGTGTAAGATGTTTTGCATTTTTCATAATACCGAAATTGATCAACATGGTTTTAATAATTTATCACTGAAATTGATTGAATAAAAACACACATTAAACAAAACGAATTGAAACAAAATTGCTTCAGAATGTCGTGATATTTCTAAAAGTAATAGGATGACGGAGGCAGTGAATTCTTAAAGCAATTAATTTGCGAAGGCAGACATTTGTTAAAGCAACCAGACGAAGAAGTCAGCTAATTCTACAAGCAACCAGACGAAGAAGTCAGCTAATTCTACAAGCAACCAGACGAAGAAGTCAGCTGATTCTACGAGCAACCAGAAGACGAAGTCAGCTAATTCTACAAGCAACCAGACGAAGAAGTCAGCTGATTCTACGAGCAACCAGAAGACGAAGTCAGCTAATTCTACCATAAGACGAAGTCAGTTAATTCTACAAGCAACCAGAAGACGAAGTCAGCTAACTCTACAAGCAACCAGACGAAGAAGTCAGCTAATTCTACAAGCAACCAGAAGACGAAGTCAGCTGATTCTACAAGCAACCAGACGCAGAAGTCAGCTAATTCTACAAGCAACCAGAAGACGAAGTCAGCTAATTCTACAAGCAACCAGACGGAGAAGTCAGCTAATTCTACAAGCAACCAGAAGACGAAGTCAGCTAATTCTACAAGCAACCAGACGGAGAAGTCAGCTAATTCTACAAGCAACCAGAAGACGAAGTCAGCTAATTCTACAAGCAACCAGACGGAGAAGTCAGCTAATTCTACAAGCAACCAGACGGAGAAGTCAGCTAATTCTACAAGCAACCAGACGGAGAAGTCAGCTAATTCTACAAGCAACCAGAAGACGAAGTCAGCTAATTCTACAAGCAACCAGACGGAGAAGTCAGCTAATTCTACAAGCAACCAGACGGAGAAGTCAGCTAATTCTACAAGCAACCAGACGGAGAAGTCAGCTAATTCTACAAGCAACCAGAAGACGAAGTCAGCTGATTCTACGAGCAACCAGAAGACGAAGTCAGCTAATTCTACGAGCAACCAGACGGAGAAGTCAGCTAATTCTACAAGCAACCAGACGAAGAAGTCAGCTATTTCTACAAGCAACCAGAAGACGAAGTCAGCTAATTCTACGAACAACCAGACGAAGAAGACAGACAATTCTTAAGGCAACCAGAGGATGAAAGTATTCGATATTAAAGAAATCAGAGGATGAAGGCGAACAATTCTTAAAGCAATCAAAAGGTGACGATAGTCCATTGATAAAGCAAACAAGCAGTCTATCCTTTCATCAGTGGACAAAGACAGCAAACTTCAAGTAGTTCAAGCATGATGGCGATAAGGGATAGAGAAAGGATCTTTCCCTAGTTTGAGGGTAATAAAGAGAAACCTTTACCCTTGAAGGAGATTCCTGACTGTCTAAAACTTGGCAAAGCCTCGGGTTAAACAGCCATTATTCTTCTTCACGGGTAGAGATATATCTGTCTACCCTCAAACTAGGAAATGGTCCTATTATTCTAAAACAACCAGACAACGAAGACAACCGAGAGAGGCAGAGAACGGCAGTACCCAGTTCTAACAGGAATCAGAGAGAGGCGCACTGATCCCAAAGGATGGAGACTAATGAGACGGTGGGTCATGTTTAGGAGCTATAATAGCAAAACCAAGGGTATGATAATTAGGAGGATAGAATGTCATTTCGTGAAAAAATGGATATTCTGAATAGAAAGATACAAATGTTGATTGAAACAGTAATTCTTTTGTAAACCAGGTATGTAATATTGTGTATTTTTACAGAATGTGTTGTTATAGAACGGGCGTTAAATTTGAACTAATGGTCTCAGCATTTCCCTCGAAGCTCTATTTTTAAATCGAGCAGGGTACAGATTTCTGTTGGACTTTCGGCTGGTGTTGTAAAATAACGTACTCGTGGTTGATTACCTGAGTGTATTAGACTAACACTCATGACCCGAGTGATCGTTATTCTTAATTTTGTGTTGTTACAGGTCAATGTCATTATCAGGACCTTAAAAAAGGTGCAACATCCTATGCCTAAACATTATCGTCAATGTTCCATGAAAATAAGACCAGATTTTCCAGAAGGGTTAAAGTCCTCTGATTCATCGACGACACCTGACATGTAATCAATTTTAATCCGAGTAAATAATGTCACGTTCCCAAATAAGGACAAGTTAAACAATAACAGAAACTCACGTCTGACTTCATATCGCTCAAAGAAATAGAATATAAAAAATGAGATCATTTTAACAATAAAACATTGCAATAATCTTCGCGAAACTGTGTTACTGGAAACCCTGTTTTGTGAATTTATCTGTCAGCTGTCTACATCTTCCACGAAAAGTGCAATATTTTGAACAAGCATTTTAAAATAGAGAATAAACATGAACTTGTTAAAATCACAGATTGCTCTTATAGTTTTTTTTCGTGAGATCATATTCAAGATTCGAAAAAGGCTCTTTGCAATTCTTTAAATTCCATATACTATTAATTCCGCTTCTTGAGTTTACAGCTTCCCTGATCAGATACACATGTAGTTGTAGGAATGGTGGTAAGAAATGCTGATTACGATTTCCTTGATAAACTAGACGAGGCGCGGAGAATTTAAGAAGTTTCGTAAAGTTTATGTATCCAATATAAACAAGGAGGGTCCGTATCCCTATTAATCGGTAATCGGTAACCAATGTATGGTTAGGTAGTTTTTTCTTTTATTTTTATATACTGAAGTGTAGATTTCACCACCAATAGAATGTACTGTTAAGCGTTTGTCTGTGGAAGTATATGATCACTGTATCACAGGGATGCTGTTAACAATACTAGAACAATATCACAATACACAGTTGTAGCAGCAAAGCATATCTGTATTATTTGCAGGCATACAATATTCTTTTTGAAAAAAAAAGAATTGCCGTCATTGACATGTACAATCTAGTACTGTGTTTTTAGTATTATATAAAACATGTTCACATATGAATCACTACATACATGTCTAGAATAGAATGCATCGTTTGAAACTGCAGCATGTCACTGAAAATAACTTCAGAAAGGAATGTTTCAATAGCATATGAAGGGTAGAATGGTTAGTTTTAATAGCTAAACTTTTTGTCAAGGCCGCGACGAGTTAAGTTAATTGTGAGTTAATGACAATTTTTGTCAAGGCCAATTCTAGGTTCAGTTTAGTCACTGTAAAGTAAAGCATTTTTTTAGTGGCAGTTCAGAAGCGTGCGACATTTTTAGCCCATGGCTATGTCTAGTTTGAGTATTGTTGAATTAGCGAGAACTTTTGTTGGTTCCTTTTCTGGTCCAATGATCAATGAACATTCGTCACTAATTTATGGCCGAACGTCACAATTTGTTAATAATTTATCTAAACAAATGCTGGATCTTATGATCAATGTAAGATACCATCAAACTTTGGTGCAAAAGATTATTCACACAATGATTTGAAATTATAACGAGCTATCTTATCAGCCTAATGTGAAATCATTTATTTTCGCGAGGTTGTATTTTGCGTGGATTTCGCAGTTACACTTAACCCATGAATAGAAATGTCCAAGTATTAGTAATCTGTTTAAAATAATGACATTTTATTCAAATTTTAAGTAGTTTCGTGGGTAATGTGAATCCATGGAAGAAAATATAATATAGATTTTATTGAAAAAACCCACGAAAGTTAAATACCACGAAAAAAATGATTTGACAGTAACATACAGCCAAGAACTTGGTTAGAATAGTGATTGCTTCTTCTTTTGGATTGGATGTTCTCAATCAGAATTTAAACACATTTTATCCTTTATGATGATGTGTCTTGGTAAGAACAAGTCCAAAATAACAAACGTTATGAAATTATAGTACATTTATTTGCTGTATGAGATATGGCAGACATAGAACAACTATTTTATTAGTTTAACACATTACAATACAGCTAAGGAGAGGACGAGAATAGTTTTTGTAACAGACGACCATGAACGTATCTAATGTAAAAGCGACGGCATGAAATATAGATAATATCATGATATCAAGAACAGCAGTAAGGCGTGTAGCAAATTCAAATGATTTAGAAGCATACAAGTAGTAGATAACCATCTTATCTCACGCAGGGCCGGATCTAGTGGGAGGTTCCTGGGTTTCGGAATCCCCTCCTCCAATTAATGTTAGCAAAATATTTCAGTCAAAGAGCTCAAAATTCTTGTTGTATTATGTCATGATGAGTGTTGTTTTACAAAATTCTATATAAGGAAAGGCCAAAATACATGTTTGAAATGCTGAAAATTGTTTCCGGACGGGGAGGGGGTAGGGTGGGGTGGGATGGGTTACCCCTGAACCCCTCAACAGGGGCGTTGCCCTCTATATCCACATTGGGGGAGAACGTTACGTAAATTTTAATTCTTGTAATCGCTTTGCCCGTGCGTTCGTGCGTACGTCTAACAAGCCTTATGTAAAAAATATATAAAGATCACAGATTTAATTTCAAGTTTCATGCTGGTATGAAAGAATAACGTTTTTGCACTACAATTTTTTCATTTACTGAGAATATTCCTATCAAAGCTAATTTCTTCGATCGGTTTCAAAAACTAGAATAAAACACAAATTAAGAAATTTCATAATTTCATGAAGGATTATTTTGAAACAAATCACTACGCATAACAGCTGGCGTGATATGGCGTTACGTCATTGACAACAAATTCGCGCCATTTCAGTAATTCAAAATTCGTTCATGAGTGGGCTAAGCGTATGCTATTCATTTTAGCACAATATATGTAGCCTATTGTTAAATTTATTTTTGTTTTAGCGGTTTAGCAATAAAGCAGATACAATCGATTTTTTGAGTACCGCCGAAGTCTAATATTTTCATGCAGTTATAGCACTATAAAACCATATTTATTCTAGTGATTTTAGCACCATGCTAGAGGTAAATTGACAAAACCAAAAGGATGAATTGTCAAAACCAAACGAGTATATTGACAAACCGAGTTTTTTTATATTTTAGCAACACGCCAGGGGTATTTGACAAAACCAAAGGGATGTTTTAACAAAACAAAACGGGTTTTTTTTAGCACTATACTAGGGGTATTTGACAAAATCAAAGGGATGTATTGACAAAACCAAATGGGTATATTGACAAAACCAAGTTTTGTTAAAAATATTTTAGCACCATGCTAGAGCTATATTGACAAACCAAAAGGATGAATTGTCAAAACCAAACGGGTATATTGACAAACCGAGTTTTTTTTTTTATATTTTAGCAACACGCCAGGGGTATTTGACAAAACCAAAGGGATGTTTTAACAAAACAAAACGTTTTTTTTTTATTTTAGCACCATACTAGGGGTATTTGACAAAACCAAAGGGATGTATTGACAAAACCAAACGGGTATATTGACAAAACCATTTTTTTATATTTTAGCACCATGCTAGGGGTATTTGACAAAACCAAAGGGATGTATTAACAAAACCAAACAGGTATATTGACAAAACCAAAGTTTTATTTATATTTTAGCACCATGCAAGGGGTATTTGACAAAACCAAAGGTAAGTATTAACAAAACCAAACGGGTATATTGACAAAACCAAGTTTTTATGTTTTAGCACCATACTAGAGGTATATTGACAAAACCAAAGGGATGTATTGACAAAACTAAAGGGATGTATTGACAAAACTAAAGGGATGTTTTGACAAAACCAAACGGGTATATTGACAAAACCAAGTTTTTATATTTTAGCACCATGCCAGAGATAAATTGACAAAAACAAAGTGAAGTAAATTTACCATTGTTTCAGCAATATATTATGCCATTCTCCAAGGACATGTTCAGCAGGGATTCTGGTAATGACCTTATGTAATGACAATGTTTACAATTTAAAAATATCACGCCGAGGTTATCGGAAACAAAGAAATTAAAAAATAAAACACACAGAAAAAAATGTTAAAGTGATACCAAACATTTGGTATTTATCTCCTCTGGGAATGTTAATGTGTGTCTGCACGATCAACAGCAAATCCAGCGAGTGTCTTCATTGTGATTAAAGAGGAAATGCAAATCGGTGTTAGGAATGACATGAATTTAAATGTCACAAAAATAAGCTTCCCCTTTGATTGTCGCTATTTGGTAATTTATCTCTAGCACAGGGAAAACAGGAAAACAGAAA